GGTAAAGGCAGACGGGTTCACGAAATGAGTTGTTTGACGTGGAGCCTGCAACAGCCAATGACTCAACGCAGTGGGTGGGAGGTGGGGATCCACAGCGGAGCATCCACAGCTGACATCCATGGCTCCGTGGCTCCCAAAGAGGCACAAATCTCATACAAGGCAGCGTGGAGACGCTTGGAGGGCAGATAGATCATGGAGAGGAATGCAAAGTCCCCATCTAACGCTCCAGAGGGGGTTTGTATTTTCAGCATTGGGACACTGAAGAGTTGCACCCATGCCCTAAGGGATGAACCACAGCGTTGCCCACATCTTGCAGGCAGCCCCTGCTGCACCACTCCTGCTCTGTGGTTCTCCTGATGCCTTCACCACTCTTTGTTTCTGTTTCTGTCTCCGCTTTCGCGTGCGAATGTTTGAGCTTGTTTATGCGTTTCAGCTGAAAAAACTCCAAAAGCTCCAGCAAAATGCTAATAGGAAGCATTAGCTGCAGCTAATTGAACTGCTTCTGTGATCCTCCATAATTATCTCCCGGTACGGCACCCCGCAAACGGCTCTCTAAGAAAGGCAGGACGGGTGCCAGCAATAATCAGATACCAGATCCGCGAGAAGCATTTTGTTTTCTTATCCAAATGAAGATTTTGGGGGGGGGGGGGGAGGGGCGGGGGGGGGATTGATTACCTCGCTAAATATTTGCTGCTGGGAGCAAACCGAGCCAGTTCTGGTGGGAAGCGCGAAGGGAACGCCGGGTGCTCAATTATTTACAGACTTGCTTGGCTAGCTGAGCGTGCGCCAGGAATGCAAAGAGAGCCGTCAAAGGGAATCTCGTCGGAGATTTTTCATTGGGAGTAAAAAGCAAGCAATGACAAGGGGGAACGTTCTGCGGAGTCAGAACGTTGGAGCTCGCACGGTGATAAATTGAGCTGTCACTGAGGCTTGATTATCACATCCGCAGCACGCCGTCCCCCAGTTGCTCCCCAAACTCGGGGAGTTTGTAGACATGCAGCGTCTGTGGGGTTGGCACTGATCTTTGAGGTCGGCAGATGTGACTGCTTGAGATCACCTTTAGAAATCATTGTTAATTCATTGTTAATTCATTGTTAATTCGGGCACTGGCGTTGTCCGAACCCAACCAGTGGGTCTTGAACAGAATCATAGCGTGGCGTCGGTTGGAAGGGACCTCAAAGACCTTCATCCGTTGCTGAGCAGCCCTGCTTGCCTTGTCCAAACCTTCCATCAGTCTCTGTAACTCACAGAGATGGAGGCAGCTCATAACAATTAAAGGCCAGATTGATCAGCTGTAGACGATGACAATTATCACAACGCTTAATGAGCTCAGTCCAGGAGAACTGCCATAGAAGCCACACAATTGCCTTGCAGGACAACCAGAATTCATGTGTGGGCTTTTTTTTTCTTCTTTTTTTTCCAAATGGGAGAAGTTGGCAGCAGTGGCTCTTAATAAGCAGTGAAGGATGGGCTGCTGTTTGGGAAGCTCAAATATCAATGAGAAGCTCTACAGCCGAGCAGCACTGGCGGTGTGATTGGGTTTTATACAGAGATATATATCAAAAAGAAAAGGAATCCTCGCAGTGGCTCTGCGTTTCTCATTGGCTGCAGGTGCTTAAACTGTCAGTAAAGATCCGGAAAATCTTAGGGGGCTGAAAACATCTCTTTAGGAGGAAGCAAGGTAATGAAATCCTACATCCCCTCTAAAGCAGGAGCCACGCAAAGCCGGGGCTGCGGTTTAGGAGGGCTGTGGGGGGAGATCTGATGGCTCTATTTGTTCTGTTGTAACATTCACTGGGCCAGAGGCCAAAAAGCCATCAGCTAATATCCAGCACCTCGGTATGACGGCCATACGACTGCAAGTTCAGCTCCGTGAGACGGCGCTCGCCTGCCTGACAGAGGCAGCTCTGATGACACCTGGTGCAAACTTCTTTCAGGCCTTATTGACACCATCAGCCCCCAAAGGGACCTCTGCATACACACGGATCTTTCCCAGTGATGAGCTTTTGCTGTGAGCAGATGGAGAGGAGAGCAGGATGGGGCCAGCGGTGCAGCAGCAACACCTGGGGCAATCGCAGAGCCATTCAGGTTGGAGAAGAGCAGCACGGACCATCAGTTCCAGCCATCAGCCCATCGCCACCGTGGCCAAGGAAGCTCTCCTGGCTGCAGGAGCTCACTGCTTCCTCCTGATCCACGGCTCCTTCTCTGCTAAGCCAGCAGGGACAGCAGCATCTCAGGATGTTTTGGGGATGAAATCAAATCACATCTGTGTAGCACCACGCACTGGTAGCTGGGGATCCTCTGAATAAAAATGGGAAATTTAGAAAAACCTTAAAAAAAAGGGGGAAAAAAAAGGCACCAAGAGCCCTAAAGCCTCAGCAGGGTCCCCACACCACGTCCCCACGGGCTCAGGATTCCCCATTTCTGCTCAGCCATGGCAATGAGTCCCTGCCTGAACTGCAAGAAGAAGGGTCTTGCTGCAGGAAATCTCTGCAGTGACGGACTCCAGCCCCGTTCTGCTTTGCTGAACTGTGCTTGCCTTGTCCTCACCCCCCTCTCCTGCCCCTCCTGAGCTCCCCGCTCTGCTGCTCTGCTACTGGGGACAAATACAGAACAACAGTGGCACCAAGTGGGAATCTGTAGGAACACAGCAGCTGAAGCACAGAGCGCACGGCGTTGGGAAGGAGCCTTTAGAATTCTGGAAGTGCTCTCCTTCGGGTCTTCGTGACTTCAGTATTTAGAGCCTAAAATCAGCATTCCTCCAAAGCCATTTCCCTCATCAAATAGCAGGTTTTCCCCTCTTTTCCTGCTCCCAGCCTGCACAAGAAAGACCACATCCACTTCATTCCCCCCAGATAAATACCCAGGGCTGGAATTTAAAGGTCTTCAGATTCCACCCTGCAGCAACGAGCTTCATGTGTGGAGATTCATGTCAGAGGTAAAGCCCACATAAAGTTTGCAGTCCCCTTCTTCCTCCAGTCGTTTCCTAGACGGAGGTCTGCCCTTCTGTAGCACCGTCATGCAGCCTGCCTTGCTCTGAGGAATCATTTGGCCCAATCCTACGCAAAGCAGATGCTATTTTTTTTTTGTGGTTTTTAGCCAGGCAAACTGAACCAGCAAAATTCTATTCGGGAAAGCACTGCTGCAGCACAGGGGGATTGGTCCAGTTCCGAAGAGCTTCTTCCATCCAACCTCCCCTCCATGCTCCTATGGAGTTCTACCAGTAGAGTTCTACCTGTAGAGTTCAGCCCTACTCACGAGCTTTCCTACAGCAGCATCAAGTTGGTGTAAGAGATAATGTGAGATAAGACCTCGGTGTGCAAAGGAGGGAAGGGATCCGTCCTCTCCAATGCCCTCCAGTCTCTGTGCTCTCCATGAGTCTTATGAGCAGTTAGCCTAGTTTTGTTTGGCTAATTAATGGAAAAGTGAAATCCTAACAGATTAAAGCTAACAACTGTGGCACGCTGTTAGAATTAAGTGTAAAATCAATGATTGTCGTCTTATAATTACAACTTGTTTGATTTTTAATGGTTTTAATGCATTCTGGTGTCCTGACATGAATCTTGTGCCTTTCCAGATTAAAAGCCCTTCTGTGACAGGCTGTAACCTTGCAGGCTGTAATTCAGATCCACCTCCTACAGCAGTGCCTCCCTGTCAGGTGCATGAGAGGAGAGCCAAAGGAACGTGGCAAGAAGCAAAGCCACTGCAGGCAAGGACAGAGGATGGGTGGGATGAGCAGACTGCAAACAGGTGAGGGGAAAATAGAGCTGAACACCTTTACAAACCCACGCAGGTTGATACAACTGATCAGCATTGGGAGATAAAATAGTTAATATGCATGAGGGAGGTGTGACACAGATTGGTTGTGGCTGTGAACCCTGCTCAGCCTCCGGAAACATTGGCTTCACCCAAACTTCCCTCTTTGCTTCAGGAACTGGTGACACTTGAATCACCCCGGTGTCCCCATTGGGTGGTGGTGGCAGTGCCCTGCTGGGGGCTGTGACAGAGAACAGGACGGACTCCTCAGCAGGGTCTGTGTGATAGGACAAGTGGGAATGGTTTCGGGGAGGAAAATTTAGACTGGAAGGATGGAAAAAGTTGACTGCAGTCGTGGCAGTGAGGCACTGGCACAGGTTCCCCAGGTCGGTGACGGTGCCCCATCCCTGGAGACGCCCAACGTTGGGCTGGATGGGGCTCTGAGCACCCGATGGAGCTCTGGGTTTCCCTGTTCTTTGCAGGGAGGTTGGGCCCTTTAAGGGTCCCTTCCAACTCAAAAGATTCTGTGATTCAACAGTGGCATCCCGTTGGGTGGCAGCAGCACCCCTTTGGGTGACATCCGTCGGGTGGCAGCCCACGATTTCCCATGGGACGGAGTCGATCTGGACGTGCTGATGGAGATGCCCATGAGGTCGGACAGCCCTTCGATGCTCTTTGCTTGCTCTGCGTGACCCAAACCACATCTCTCACCCTCCCCAACCTCTGATGTAAGCGTGGAGGAGCAGATCCGGAACAGCCACGTATTTCTGGTTACTTCTAACAACTTTTTCTTTCCTTTTCCTATAGGGCCCGTTAGTGTTCCTTCAGAAAGAAAGGAGCACGAGGCCAGAAGCATGAATTAAAGCAAGAAGTGGGGTCGCAGTTGTAGGATCGCGGTGTCCCCCGAGCCCACACGGCTCTTTGAGCCGCATCCCCGCTGCCCCCTCCC